TTGTATACAGGTAGCAAAGAGTATGCTAATAGTGTTAGCGTTTTGCCGTCAGAAAGTATTTTGACCCACTTTTGAGATATGGTGTCCGAAAAGTAGGCCAAAGTTAAAAGTTTTCCAAAGGACGATTCTCGGTTTGGAGAACGAAGTTCATCAATCTAAATGAGCATTATCCCTGCTTCGGACAAATTTGATTTTTTTACATAATGTAGATTTGAATGTCCTCTTTTGAATAGTCATAATTTAATTTGGGTAATATTTCTTGATTTTTCGCAAAAAAAATATTAGCGCAGTACACTGATGAACTTCTTTCCCCAAATTGAGACTTGTATTTTATTGAATCGGTCTAATTGAGCATTATCCCTGCTTCAGACCAATTTGTTATTTTTACATCTTGTAGAATTAAATGTCCTCTTTTGAATATTCATAGTTTAATTTGGGTAATATTTCTATATTTTTCATGAAAAAAATTATTAGCCCAGGAGACTGTTCTCCAAACCGAGAATCGTCCTTTAACGTATGAGTTATGAATTAAAGGTAGAATTTTCTCAGAAATCTAGATCTGCAAACCAAATTTCGATCCGACTACTTGTTCTGAAGTTATGGCGTTTTGAAATCTCAAAAATCGCTAAATTTGGTGCCCCATGTTAAATCAATGGGACCGAATAATTTTTTGAAGTATAAAAATACGAGATATAGAATGAGTACAGCTAAACATAATGAAAGCCCATAGAAGAAGGGGACCTCAAAAGCTACTTTCCTTCAAAGTTTGGACACCAAAATACCTAGTTCAAAATCTAGGTCAAATTCATAGTTTTTTTATTTTGCGATTCTGACACTACACTTCAATGATATTCTCCGAAATTCTCCGAGAGTGTGCTAATAATGTTAACATTTTGCCGTCAATAAGTTTTTTGACCCACTTTTGAGATATGGTGTCCGAAATGTAGGTCAAAATAAAAAAGTCTCCAATTCTAAAGTATGAGTTATGAATTAGGGGTAGAATTTCCTCAGGAATCTGGATCTGAAATTAAAATTGCAATCCGACCCCCGGTTCAGATTCTACGCCATTTTGAAGTTTGAAATTCGCACTTGCCAGTATTCACGATGCAGATTGATCAAATATACTTTCAAAAATTCCTGCATACCCTACTTTACCTCTCTACCTACTCAGCTACTTATTTGACTACTTACTCAATTACTTAATCAGTTATTACTTCCTTAGCAACTTACTCAGCTACTAACTCAGGTACTTACTCAGCTACTTACTCAGCTACCTACTCAGCTTTTTACTCAGTTACTTACTCAGCTACTTACTCAACTACTACTAAGGTACTTACTCAGCTAATTACTCAGTTACTTACTCAGCTCTTTACTGATCTATCTAGGTCAAATAAATCTGGAGTCTTAAATTGAACTTGTTCAATTTCACAAATCTAGTTATTATTATTCTTCCTCCTTCCCAGATTTCTCACCAACTAGAAGAGCTTACTTTAAGTTGCTTACATGATCAACTAGGGAATGTATCTGGGATGATGGGAAATTAGGTCAAATTTTTATCTAGGTCAAAGGTCAAGAACTAGGTCAAATCTTGCATTTTCAACATTCTATCAATTATCTTCGTCATTATTTATGGGAACAACTTTGTCTTTTTTTCATGATGTAGCTTAGAAACAGCTCTTTCATGAATGTGCCAACAGATTTTTGATTACTCGTACCAATTTTGAGATATGGCGTCCTGAAAGTAGGTCAAAACCAAAGAGTTCTCCAAATTTAACATATGAGCTATGAAATAAGGGTAGAATTTTCTCAGGAATCCGAATCTGCAAACCAAATTTTGATCCGACTTCCTGTTCGGAAGTTATGGCGTTTTGAAAGCTCAAAAATCGCTAAATTTGGTGCCCATGTTAAGTCAATTGGAAAAAAGATTTTTTTGAAGTGAAAAATACGAAATATAGACTGAGTTCAGCTAAATATAATGAAAGCTTTTAAAAGAAGGGGACCTCATAAGCCATCTAGCTTCAAAATTGGGACACCAAAATGCCTAGGTCAAAATCTAGGTCAAATTCAAAGTTTTTCCTTATTTTTGCGATTCTGACACAACCGATTAATTATATTCTTCGAAATTTTGTATACATGTAGCTAAGAGTCTGCTAATAGTGTAAGCCTTTTGCCGTCAGAAAGTATTTTGCCCCATTTTTGAGATATGATGTCCGAAAAGTAGGTCAAAATAAAAAATTCTCAAAATTTGACGTTTGAGTTATGAATTAAGTATAGAATTTTCTCAGGACTCCGAATCTGCAAACCAAATTTCGGTCCGACTTCCGGTTTGGAAGTTATGGCGTGTCCGAAAAGTAGGTCAAAATAAAAAGTTTCCAAATTTAACGTATGAGCTATGAATTAAAGACAGAATTTTCTCTGGAATCCAAATCTGCAAACCAAATTTCGATCCGACTTCCGGTTCGGAAGTTATGGCGTTTTGAAAGCTCAAAAATCGCTAAATTTGGTGCCCCATGTTATGTCAATGGGAAAAAATATTTTTTTGAAGTGTAAAATACGAGATATAGACTAAGTACAGCTAAACATAATGGAAGCCCATAAAAGAAGGGGACCTCAAAACCTTCTAATTTTGAAAATTTGGACAACAAAATGCCTAGGTCAAAATCTAGGTCAAATTCAAAGCTTTTCCTTATTTTTGCGATTCTGACACTACACCTTAATTATATTCTTCGAAATTGTGTATACACGTAGCCAAGAGTGTGCTAATAGTGTTAGCCTTTTGCCGTCAAAAAGTATTTTGACCCACTTTTGAGATATGGTGTCCCAAAAGTAGGTCAAAATAAAAAATCTTCAAATGTAACGTATGAGTTATGAATAAGGGGTAGAATTTTATCAGGAATCCGAATCTGCAAATCAAATTTTGATTCGACCTCCTGTTCGGAAGTTATGGTGTTTTGAAAGCTCAGAAATCGCTAAATTTGCTGCCCCATGTTATGTCAATGGGAAAAAATATTTTTTTGAAGTGTAAATTACGAGTTATAGACTGAGTATAGCTTAATATAATGAAAGCCTATTAAAGAAGGGGACCTCGAAGGCTACTTAGCTCCAAAATTTGGACACCAAAATGCCTAGGTCAAAATCTAGGTCAAATTTATAGTTTTCCCTTATTTTTGCGATTCTGACACTATATTTTAATGATTTGCTTTAAAATTTTGTATACAGGTAGCAAAGAGTATGCTCATAGTGTTAGCGTTTTGCCGTCAGAAAGTATTTTGACCCACTTTTGAGATATGGTGTCCGATAAGTAGGCCAAAGTTAAAAAATTTCCAAATTTAACGTATGAGTTATGAATTAAGGGTGGAATTTTCTCAGAAATCTAGATCTGCAAACCAAATTTCGATCTGACTACTTGTTTTAAAGTTATGGCGTTTTAAAATCTCAAAAATCGCTAAATTTGGTGCCCCATGTTAAATCAATGGGACCGAATAATTTTTTGAAGTATAAAAATACGAGATATAGAATGAGTACAGCTAAACATAATGAAAGCCCATAGAAGAAGGGGACCTCAAAAGCTACTTTCCTTCAAAGTTTGGACACCAAAATACCTAGTTCAAAATCTAGGTCAAATTCATAGTTTTTTTTATTTTGCGATTCTGACACTACACTTCAATGATATTCTCCGAAATTTTGTAAACTTATAGCAAAGAGTGTGCTAATAATGGTAACATTTTGCCGTCAATAAGTTTTTTGACCCACTTTTGAGATATGGTGTCCGAAATGTAGGTCAAAATAAAAACTTCTCCAATTTTAAAGTATGAGTTATGAATTAGGGGTAGAATTTCCTCAGGAATCTGGATCTGAAATTAAAATTGCAATCCGACCCCCGGTTTAGATTCTACGCCATTTTGAAGTTTGAAATTCGCACTTGCCAGTATTCACGATGCAGATTGATCAAATATACTTTCAAAAATTCCTGCATACCCTACTTTACCTCTCTACCTACTCAGCTACTTATTTGACTACTTACTCAATTACTTAATTAGTTATTACTTCCTTAGCAACTTACTCAGCTACACAGCCAATATAATTCGACACCGTTTCGGCATCGAACAAATTCGGCACCGTTCCGGCACTGTTTCGACACCGTTCCGGCACCGAAACCTTTCGACACCAAAATTTGCTACCGGACTAGTCAGTCCATTTGGTGCCGAAACGGCACCGAAATTTGGCACCGAAACGGCGTCGAAAATCAGATTGCATTTTGGGGGTGTACTAACTCAGGTACTTACTCAGCTACTTACTCAGCTACCTACTCAGCTTTTTACTCAGTTACTTACTCAGCTACTTACTCAACTACTACTAAGGTACTTACTCAGCTAATTACTCAGTTACTTACTCAGCTCTTTACTGATCTATCTAGGTCAAATAAATCTGGAGTCTTAAATTGAACTTGTTCAATTTCACAAATCTAGTTACATATATACATTTGGCATCATCAATTTGATGGGTATTGTAACTAGAAGTGCCTTCTAGTTGCATTGAAACAGCTTAACATGTAAAACAAAATCACTATAACATTGGACTATATATATAAAAAGCATAAGTAGGGTATTGTGTGAAGTTTGGTCCTACACCCCGGCCTACACCCAAAATGCCTTCCGTATGTAGAACAGATTTTCAAGATGGCTGTCTCAAAGTGGCTGCCATTTTTGTAAAAATATGTAATCTTTGATTACTTAAATACCATTTGACAGAATTGGTTCAAATTTTATATGTCTAGGGACGACAAGCTCTGCCTGAGAAGGAATTTTTAAGATGGCAGCTGAATTTCAAAATGGCCACCATTTTTCAGTAAAAGGACGTAATGTTTGATGACTCAAATACCAGAAAACAGATTTGGTTCATGTGAATGTATTGTTATTTTTGTTATTGTTTTTTTCAATTTCTAATATTTATTGATTTGTATTCCTAAATTAAGTTCAATAAAATATATGTGTTTACATTAAATGTATATTTGAATAGAGAGTTATCAATATTTGCATTCATTGAAATGTATTACTACTTTATATATTACATTTGCGTGTCCATTTCTCTAATCGATTTCCACTTCCCGTTAATTCTCCGGAGCACCCTCATAAATCTGCAAACAAGGATTTGAAACACATATTTTATATGGATGTCATGAACGTAGTGCTATTTTTATGAGTAGTACACCACCATATGGAAATACGAGTTGAGCGAAGTGAAAAATGTTGGATTCAGGGGGTCTTG